GCTCCACCACCTATAGCTCCAGTTCCTCCACATAATCCAGTTCAACCTTATGCAGCTCCACCATTCTTGACTTACTGCGCATCAGATTCTGCACCTACTGCGGACTTGTCTCCTCTTAGTCAACCAATTGCACTCTACAAAGGTGTACGATCCACACTTAATCCTAATCCCCACTATGTCGGTTGAAGTTATCATCGCTTGTTGTCACCTCATTATGCATTTATATCTTCTTTGTCCACTGTTTCTATCCCTAAGTCTATAATAGCATCTGTTCGTCTCTTTTTGTCCATGGCTGTTGTACGTCATTGGCCTCTTTATCAGTTAGACATTAAGAATGCTTTTCTCCATGGTGATCTTGAGGAAGAAGTTTATTTGGAGCAACCATCTGGTTTTGTTGCTCAGGGGGAGTTTAATGGTTGTGTGTGCAGATTGCGCAGGTCACTATATGGTTTGAAACAGTCCCCTCGAGCTTAGTTTGGTAAGTTCAGCACAATTATTCAGGAATTCGGCATGACTCGTAGTGAGGCTGATCACTCTGTATTTTATCGGCATTCTGCTCCTATCTAGTGGTTTATGTTGATGATATTGTTATTACTTGCAATGATCAGGATGATATTACTAATCTGAAGCATTTCTTTCAGCACTTCTAGACTAAGGATATGGGCAGATTGAAGTATTTTCTAGGTATTGAGGTCGCTCAGTCTAGCTCAGGTATTGTTATTTCACAGCGGAAGTATGCCTTAGACATTCTTAAGGAGACTGGAATGATGGGTTGCAAACCTATTGACTCTCCTATGGATTCGAATGCTAAGCTTCTGTCTGGACAGGGGGAGCCTCTTAGAGACCCTACGAGATATAGGAGGTTGGTTGGCAAATTGAATTACCTCACAGTGACTAGACCTGGCATTTCTTTTCCGGTGAGTGTTGTAAGTCAGTTTATGGATATTCTCCCTGTGATAGTCACTGGGATGCAGTTGTTCGCATTCTTCGGTATATAAAGTCAGCTCCAGGCAAAGGATTACTATTCGAGGATCGAGGCCACGAGCAGATTGTTGGGTACACAGATGCTGATTGGGCAGGATCACCTTTTGATAGACGTTCTACGTCTGGATATTGTGTTCTAGTAGGAGGTAACATGGTCTCGTGGAAGAGCAAGAAAAGAATGTAGTTGTTCGATCTAGCGCCGAAGCCGAATATCGGGCCATGGCTATGGCGACGTGTGAGTTAGTTTGGGTCAAGCAGTTGCTCAAGGAGTTATAAAGTTCGGAGAAATCAGCAAGATGGGACTAGTGTGTGATAACCAAGCTGCTATTCATATTGCGTCAAATCCGGTGTTTCATGAGAGGACTAAACACATTGAGATCGACTGTCACTTTGTCAGAGAAAAAATACTTTTAGGAGATATTGTTACAAAGTTTGTAAAGTCGAATGATCAACTAGCAGATATTATGTGTAACAAGCTCGGTACATATGATGTGTATGCACCGGCTTGAGGGGAGTGTTAGTTTACAGATATGTATAGTGTAGTCTTGTGCCACATTGAAAGAGGAGTAATATCTCTTTGTAGTGTATAGCTATAAATATGGACCTCTTGTATTGTATTTATTATCTGATATCAATAACATATTTTCTCCCGTGCCTTCTCATAGTCTCTAACTTCTTCTTTTTTTTTTTTAAAAGTGTTTGGTTTTATTATTTTAAGGAATTCAAATCTAGGCTTTGATTGCAAAATAGGGGAGAGATTTTAATAGCTCCGAAATACTTTACAGGTTTTCTGTTGGGTGCCCTACAAATCTAAAGCCTTAAACAGCAAATGAAAATGGCATCATAGTCCGAATTTGTTGCAGCTCTAAATGTGCTTTTTACTTCTGAAAAGTGATTCTTATTCCTCTTTTTTTTTAGCCAATATTTGCTTTTCTAGAAGCTTAATCCACTTTGACTCTTTCATTCACAAATTTGCCTCCAAACGCACAATTACATTTTTGTTATCAATTTCTTTTTTCCTTGTCAAAAATCTCACACGTGTTCCTTCTCTAATCGTAGATGATATTTAGTTAATCTATAACATTCTTTCGTGGAGATGTTCTGATCCTTCCCTAATTATCTCTAGGATCCTGCTTACTATGTCCTTAAGGAAGATGCTTCTCCTTGTATTTTTGGATCTATTGAGAAGCAAAGGTGGTCCTATGCATGTGCAAAGCAATTGATTGAGAGGTTGATCTATGGTATGTTATGCTATACCTTTGTCTGACTGTTCTAAAGTTGAATCTCTTATCATATGTTTCTCACTTATTACGTTTTGCAGCTGAGGGTGCTGAGAATGGCTTAGAATTCACCATTGTTAGGCCCTTCAACTGGATTGGTCCTAGGATGGATTTCATACCTGGGATTGATGGTCCTAGCGAAGGTGTTCCAAGAGTGTTGGCTTGCTTTAGTAATGTACGTTTTTTTGTTTTTTGTTTTTTTGGAGTTTAAGGTCATCTGATGCTAGTATGTGTTTTAATTTCATCATCTCATTATTTCTTTTGCAGAATCTTTTAAGACATGAACCACTAAAGCTAGTGGACGGTGGACACTCGCAAAGAACCTTCATATATATTAAGGATGCTATTGAAGCTGTTCTCCTGATGATTGTGAGTTTTGACATCTTCAGCCCCTTGTTCTTGTTTTTGAAATGCACTATGTTCAATTGTGATTCATGTGATTTTTCTCAGGAAAATCCTGCACGGGCTAATGGGCAGATCTTTAATGTCGGCAATCCTAATAATGAAGTTACAGTTAGGCAGCTAGCTGAAATGATGACTCAGGTAATTAAGTGATCTCTTTGTCATTTTCCCTGTATCTTCTCGTGGTGTCTATTGCTTCAGCTTTATATTTCTCGAGCGTATTTTCTGCACCTTGTCAATTTCTCTCAGCTATTTTTCATGCATCACAACAGGTGTACTCAAAGGTGAGTGGAGAATCTCCTCTTGAGACACCCACCATTGATGTAAGTTCTAAAGAATTTTACGGCGAGGGGTACGATGACAGTGACAAGCAAATTCCAGACATGACCATAATTAACAGACAGCTTGGTAATAATCTACTTCTTTATTTATCGAGAAATGACAACTCCTGAAAGCCAAAAATAATCTGACTGTTCGATTGTCACTGTATGACCAGGTTGGAACCCGAAGACATCCCTATGGGACTTGCTTGAATCCACACTGACATACCAACATAGGACTTATGCTGAGGCTGTCAAGCAGGCGATGTCAAAGACAACTGTAAATTGAATTTTAAATCAGAGCAGTGGTTAGTGTGTGCTTCATGTTGACAGGCTTTCATATTCTCTTTGCGAATCTTCATCTACTCGGTTTGACTTCATACACTGTATCTTTTTGTCATCTACGTTGTTTTTGGAAAAACAATATCTACGTCGTCTATAATAGCTCACAGCCTTAAGCATTGTCACTAGCGCCTTATGTACAACAGTTATGGGACATTAGACAAGGGAGGCATGTAGTCTGCTCTAGATATTGTTGTCCTCCATTTTATCATTCTTCCTTCTGGAAGCATCTTGTATTATTCCACTGAGATTTTCCTAATTTATTACTATAATTTATTATTCGTTTGATTAAATGGTCTTGTTTCTTCGATGTGTATGACATAGTTCTGATTGATGAGTCGCGAGCCGGTGTTAACGAGAGGCTGGAGGTTTGGAGACAAGCTCTTGAGTCTAAGGGTTTCAAGCTGAGCAGGACGAAGACGGAATACATGGAGTGTAAGTTCAGTGCTGAGTCAGGGGAAGTGGGCGTGGATGTGAGGCTTGATTCGCAGGTCATCCCGAGTAGAGACAGCTTCAAGTACCTTGGTTCGGTTATCCAGGGGGGAGAGGAGATCGATGAGGATGTCACACACCGTATTGGGGTAGGATGGATGAAGTGGAGGTTAGCATTTGGAGTCCCGTGTGACAAGAGAGTGTCACCGATACTCAAAGGTAAGTTTTATAAAGCGGTGGTTAGACCGACCATGATGTATGGGGCTGAGTGTTGGCCCGTTAAGAACTCACATATCCAGAAGATGAAAGTAGCAGAAATGAGGATGTTGCGGTGGATGTGCGGGCACACTAGGATAGATAAGATTAAGAATGATGATTTTGGGGAGAAGGTGCATGTGGCTCCCATTGATGACAAGATGCGGGAAGCGAGACTTAGATGTTTCGGACATGTTCAGAGGAGAAGCCCAGATGCTCCGGTACGGAGGTGTGAACAGCTGGTTGCGGAGGGCACGAGAAGAGGTAGAGGATGGCCTAAGAAGTATTGGGGAGAGGTGATCAGACAGGATATGGCGAGGCTCCAGATTTTTGAGGACACGACACTTGATATGAAGATGTGGAGGTCGAGTATTAGGGTTGTAGGTTAGGAGGTAGTTGAGTCGTGCCTTACTTCGTACCATGGTGGGACTAGCCATGTAGGGTTTTTGTCTAAGATAGCTAGTGGCAATGTTGTGGCTTACTATTTTGCTTTTCAGTGCATGTCCTATTTACTAGCTATC